GTAATCTGATAAAAGGTAGAATTGTTCAAGGGATCTGAATAGTACTGCAGGGCACTATAGTTCTAGTAATGCTTCATAGCGACAGTGTATTTATTTGTTCACTTTGTCCTCTTCCAGGGGTCCATCATTAGCAGTCCGCACACACGTCGGAGACCTACAACAGCACGTGAAGGCTCCTCCCGCGGCCATCCCTCCATCCCCAACTCCGCATCAACGTCCATCCTTGGGTCGCTCTTTGGCAGCAAGCGGGGGAAGCCGTCGTCTCAGAGCCAGCCCCCTCTGCCGCCACCCAGCCACCCCACCCTCATATCGCACAAGCCGCACCCGACCAACCTGCACCACACGGCCCAGGTAGTGCACACGGTGCAGGCCCAGCTACACGGCCCACATCCCCAGTACTGCCAGGTCCCGCAGAACCCCCCGCCTTACCACCACCATCACCACTACCACCCGCCTCCCCACACGCAGTACCACCAGCACCCGGCCTACTCCTCACACGCGCACCACCACTCGCAGCACGGCCACTTCAGCCAGCACCCTCACCACGCCCAGCACCCTCACCACCATGGCCAGCAGGCGGGCCCAGCACACGGCGGGCACAAACCTAAACACAGTGGCATCAGCACCGTAGTGTGATGCTCCTCACGCGGAGACAGGAAGACAAAAGAGAAAATTTTATGAAGAAAGGACAATCGCTCACACCAAAGGGACTGACAGCATAACTCTATGGCCTGTCCACTGTGTTTTAGCTGCTGTGCTGGGAAGCAGTCACACCCAGACACAGCTTTCACTTCCAGGTCCAACTGATATGCAGGATAGAAAACGGATTCAAATCTTCCAATAGGGGCCTTCACTAGTTTGCCTGATTTGGGGCTTCTGCGTGTGGAGGGTTTGGGTGGTCTGCACAGGAAGATGCTCTTTAATTTCCACAAGCTCCATCCTGCTGCTTTATTCCCGCATTTACTGCTCCTACCATCACATAATCAGGAGGAAGGATGCCCTACGACGAGAACATGTTTGACTGTTTTTTCACAATTTCAGAATTTCAGCTGTTGAGTCTTTGGTTTTTGCAAATCCTGCCATCATGTGAATGCTATTTGTTGTCGCCTCCTCTAGAGCTCATATATAATACAAAAAAACGTAGATATAAGCATTTCACACTGTCAGCAGACAGCTAAACAACTCATAGTAGTTCTAGTGCTGTATTTACTGTACACGACAGCTATACGTTTTGTGTCTTAGCTCTCATTAAATAAATGTGCCAATTATTAACGCATAATCTATTTAGTCGAGACTTTATGTACAGTATATTGTGTGTAAAGTAATTTGTAAGATTATACTTACAATTATTATCAGCAAAAATGGTGTCTTCAGTATTAAGCTGACTTCAGTGACGGGTTGTAGATCTGAAAAAGGAGCAAACTCCCATTCTGCCCAGGCCTGGTCCGGTCAAGACCTATGATCTGGTTTAAAGTTGTTTTATTTCCTTTCTGGTGAATACAAAAAACCATCACCCAAAACAAAGCCTATAGATGGCAGCTGCTGCACATTTGACATCTAAAAACAGTTTGATTAAAGCTGAATTCCTGAAGGAGACGTTTCCCCTAAAAAAACACTCAGAATAAAGAATTTAGTGCAAAACTATATTTTTAAAAGGTAAAATTTCTGTTTCTGTTACAAATGGTCTGAAATAAAGCCAATATGCAGCAGCTGTTTTCTTTGCTTTCGAAATCAACTGGGAAAATATCCTGAAATCTTCGTTTTTGCCTTGTTCAGATTATTTTCATTCGCCAACTCGGTTTTGGTGGATTTCTTTTTTTTTTCTATTAAATGTGCAATATCTTTGTACTGATTTTGTACATCAAGAGCAAGCAAGATCTCCCCTCCTCTTTGAGAGTTTGTCATTTTGCGTCATTATTTATTTATTTTCTCTTTGACCCCATGTTTGCGTGGTTTTTTTTTCTCTGTAAATTGTCCGCCTATCCTCGTGGTCTTATGAGGGGTACAGACTTGGAGCTCAGTGGAATGTCTTGTAAGGTTTTTGTTTGTTTTGCATGTAATGTTTTTGATGTGAGGCTATCCTCTGCACATTGTATAACAAATCAGTGTTACCATGGTAAGTTTAAGTGCAATCATGCAGGCTTGTACTTGAGAGTGAAAGTCTGTCGTCTTGTTGTCCAGGATGAGATTCAGGTGAAAAAAAAAAAAAACTGTTTCTTTGTTCTTTTAAAAAGACGTAAAAGTACCTAGACACTTCAGAGTGGAAAGAAGAATGTGTGTATATATTTTAATAAAAAGGAAACTGAAATATTTCGCTGGACAAGCACATATAAAAGGACAGTTCAATTTTTTTCAGGAATTGCAGTTATAACCTACACAAATGCAAGCTAAACAGAAGAACTGGGTATATGTAAAGATTATCTTTCTATATTCTACAAATAAGAGTCTATTCTAGTGTGTAAATTAGTGACAGTAAGCTGTTTGTCCCAATATTCAGGTTATAAAAATGTATTTTAATATTCATGAAGAAATCCACAGAAGTCAGGCTCACACATTATCTTTTGTTTTGTTGTTTTTCATTTAGACGACAGACATATCACACGCGGGACATTAATGATACGCTGAATGTGTCTTTTTCTGATAATTTCATATCTTTGCTATAATTCAGAAATTTTTGGAAATGGTGTGAAACTGATGCAGATGTTTATTTTGGTGTGTTGTGCTTTAAATGTTTGTGATTTTTTTTTTTTTTTTTTTTGTCCAAAAGTACCCCAACAATGCACTGCATGGATCTGATGCATCATGCGTCCTATTCACTGTGAGCTGATGGGGAAGAGATCAGCCTATAACACGTTGGACTTCTTTTTTTTTTTTTTTTTTTTTTTTGAGTTTTGAATAAGTTGGAACTTTACGATGGTGGCTTGTCCTTGTCGCTCCATGTTTTTTGCCTGGTAGTTATTGAAGCTCAGCATGCATTTCATCTACAAAGCCATTTTGTAAATTGCAAACATGGAAGAAGGAGAAGAAAAAAAGAAAACGTTGCACTTCGTCGCTGAGGGCTTTCATTGTGTAAATAGAAGAATCTGTTGTGCAAGCTGATGAACTGCTTGATTAGAGAGCTCAGCTTCGTGAAGACTGTAAAGGGACCAAAACTGGGGTAAAAGGAGATGTACATAATGTCTATATTTCCAGTGCTCTACTCTGACATCTGCAGTTGAGAACAGGATGTACATGTCGCCTCCTGAAAGGATTGGAGCAGTGCTGATTGAACCGATCGACTCTCTCTTCCTCCAGCAGTTGTGAACTGAGATTTGCTGTGAAAATCAAAACCAGACTGTTATAGGAAGTGCGCTGCCATCAATTACATGCAGTTTTCCTTTCATACATGCAAATACACACAAACACACACGCACACAAACAAATGTACACACAACCGGCTGCGAGCTGTTTGATTTGACGAGTGGCATGTTTTGAAGAAAGGAAACGACAGGAATGGCCTCATTTAAATGTGCATTTTGTTTGTACAGTGAATAGTGAGTCAGTAAGACCCCAGTTATTGTAAAACTTCAACTGTGACAATGTTGAGAACGCAAAATAAACAAATATATGACTTATGGTACATTGGCTGTGTTTCTCCGTTGGTAAATTTTGCCATTCAGGGTGAAAATTAATAGACTTCTTTGTTGTAGCTTGCTGCAAAACAAAGAAAAATGAGTTGGGGAAACAGGCATTTACACAAATGGTAAAAGTAAAAACTTATGCTTTTCTCTACATCTGAAGATGATATTTGACTTGACTTTTTTCAGTTTTCATTTAGAATCATCCAAATTATTTCTTGTTTCTAAATGCCAGAATAACAATGGATTAAAAAAAATAATAATAATTCCGGTGCATTTCGTACAATTTTGTAGTATTTAGTAGAATTGTCTTTTAGATTTGCATCAAATGTTTTTTTGATAGTCTTCCCATTCCTCCTGACTAGGCATGTGTAACTCATTCAAGTGTCTATACTTCAGTCCATTTCTTAGATCAGCATCTTGCTCAGACTCCCCTTGCTGTGTTTAAACTTCATATACAGGAACTTCAGCAGGCCTGTATGGAATGGATAGTGAAAAACACTTTTAAGAAATAAGACCAATTATACCTACTCATTTTATTAAAGATATAGTATGTCTCTTCTTTGTGTACAGTAATAAAACAAGATATGAATCTTTTCTTTTAGTACACTGTCCTGACATTGGTTTTTAAAGATTTGAAATTTGAAATCTATCAACAACAACAACAAAAAACTATTCTGCATGCAATATCAGGTACACATCTGGTAAAAATGTTTAAAAAAGAAGGTACACAACCAGGTTAGAAAATTCAAATCCCCTTAGCTAAAGTGAGATGTTCAGTGGATTAAAGAATATACTCAAATGTTGTGACATTTGACGATTTTCATCATAAGAAAAGTCACATTTAATTTCATTTTCATTTTTGCTTCAGTTTTGATGTGGTATAGAAAGGATTCAGGAACTTTAATTTCCATAACAGGGGAGCATTAAAATATTACTTTCTATAATTCCACATGAGAGCATCTGTTAAATTTAAATCAGAAAAATTGAGACCCTGCACTGTTACACCACCTATAGGTCAGAAGTATGAGTGCAGAATTTCTTTGATGGAAGTGTATAATCTTACTTTTCTAAACTACACAACTGAAGTGTATCGTTAAGCTCAGATCGCATAAGTTTTGGCATATAAAACCTACACCATTTATAGTTTTCCATTATCCCCAGTCTCGAGCCATGCAGTGAATGGTTACAGTGCATTCACTGCAGGGATGTTTGGAAAGCCTCAGCTAACATATTCATAGATAAGTCTTATCACTTCAAAGCAGATGGACTTCCTTCATGTCATGTGAATTATAACTGCGGTGCTATTGGTGCACTCCTCAACCTGACGCCGTTCAGTTTGAGGTTTTATATCTCTGTGCTCACTGCGCATCAGTTAGAAGGGGTAAATGTTTCAGAAGATCTTCCTAATGCTCTAACTGGACAATAGCAGACAGTTTATAAGGATGACTGATATCTGCAGAAGAAATCGTGAGATTGGCCTGACACATAAAGGTTGGTATTCTTTTTTTATTTTTTATTATTTTTTGGGAGGGGGAGGGATTTCTGAAGTCAAACTACTGTTACCTTTTTTTTCACTTGTGTTCAGTGATATTTATTGAACGTAATAGGCCTAGCTCTTTTAGGTTTTGACAGTGTCAGTCAAAAAATTTTAATAAATTCGTCATCTGCATGAATTTCATACAAATTTTAAAATTTCCATTTTGCATTTGAATCATTTTTTGGGGGGGGGGCGGGGAGGGGTTATTGTTTCCACAAAGGGTCAAAATTATGCATACACTCCACTGACATTTGTTGCAGAATTGCAGAGAAACATAAATTGTAGTCATCAAAGATATTCTGGCAAAATTCATAATCCTGGATTCATTTGCAATTGGTAATGTCAGTTAGAAGTGGATACAAGTTGATCAAGCATAGTCTGAATGTTTCTGTATTACTACATTTCAGACCAGGGACATTTCATCTGTCCTGAAAACCAGTTTTGCTGCGGGTTTGGAATGATTACCATTTTGGAACACCTAGTTATGAGAACATTTGAACTATTCAGCTGTTCTTTTGAGAAGATTCACTTATCTATACTAATAGACACTATTTTGCTGTTTTCTGGCCGATCACCAATCTTTAAAGAGCCTCACCTGCTAATTTTGATTTTGATTGATTATTAGTTTTTATAACTGATACACCAATGTGTTATAAGATCACAATATGCCTTCAATATTCCAATATTCTTTCATTGAAAAAAAAACAACATTTAACAATACTCATAAACTAATACAAAATTGTTTTTTGCTGCACACAGTGGTGCTTTCATATATAAAACAAATGAAAAGTTTGCATATGACCTGTTCGCCATGTCTGTCAGTCAGTCCTCTCACAGCAGAGCAAAAAGGGACAGTGGCTGATTTTCAGAGCTTTGTGAAGACAGATAAGATTAGTGGATGAGATTGGTTTCATATGCAGTACAGGCTGATCATCGATCACTCAGAATGAAAAAAAACCTGCATTGTTCAATCAGTTAACTCATACAGTCAAATCGGCTTACCATGATGCATTTTCTTAGGCCTAAAACGTCAGTTTGATTCCTCCAGACAGTTCAATCTTTGTGTCACCCGCCTACTGTACATGTTTAAAAAACATCTAGCTTTATAATGTGGGTAATGGATTGCAAATCTGCTGGAAGACATAATTTTCGGAACAGGTGCTTCCTCCCTGTTCAGCTCTGTATTAATCATATAAATGGTGCACATTCTTCACTGCAGACCGTAGCTCAAGATATGTATGTAAACCTCTGACTACAAATGCATCTAATAAGCTGAACTGTACAAAACCTTTTCAATTGTGTTATTATTATTATTATTATTATAACTTGTTCCTACAGGATGCTGCTCCACAGTGTGACCTTAGCTGTTTATCTTCTCCTGACCTCATCAAGTGCCCAGAGAACTGTCCAGTCCTGTGTGTTTTCAGAGCTCCAGCCATCTGGGTTGAGAGTCAACTGCAGCTCTTTAAACCTCATGGAGTTGCCTCATCTGCCTTCAGAGACCACAGAACTGTTTGTGCAAGACAACCAGCTCACCTCAGTGCCACCAGGAAGGTTTGACCAGTTGGCTTACCTTAAAAAGGTGTCCCTGTCTCCGAACCCGTTCCGCTGTGACTGTAGCATCCAGTACCTGAGGTATTGGATGCTGAAGAACAGGGCTGTTGTCTCAGAGGAGCCTTTATGTTCCAGTCCAGGCTCTGTAGCTCAGAAAGCCATCACTGACCTAAGTGATACCTACTTCTCCTACTGCACCTTTCCACTCCTACGTCAAATAAGCGCCTCAAGCTGTGTTTATGTCTCTTACAACACCATTGCATCGGTGATGCTGTGCTGCGTTATTATTCTACTTTTGTGGAGCTTAATACTTGCCAGAAAATCTACTTTCACCATGTACGTGGAAGAGCGACATTCAGGATTTGAGGCGGACTCTCTGCGCTCACTGAAACCCAAACACAGGAGGAGGCTGCACACAGAACTGTCAGGGCTCGGCGCCGACTCTGATTCTGCCATTTTGTCAGAGGACTTGGAGAGGCCACTTTTCAACATGGAGTTACTCCCACAAGTGCTAGAAACATTACAGAAGAAGCACAATATAAAGATAAAGGCCACTTAACAGACTTTTATTCATACTTTAGCTGAACTAATAAGTAAGAAGTGGAAGTGAGGCTGTGAGTGTTTGCAAAGACAGTTGCAAGATGGGTTTTTTTATTATTTGTTTTCATCCTAAACTGCACCAACCCATTTATCAGAAACTTCACCTCTGTAAGTTTTATTTAATTTGTTTTTATATTTTACGATCCAAACTAAGTTTGCTTAAATAAATATCAACATTTCTTACAATCAATTGCAGTTTGCTTTCTGCTATCAATACTGAACTATTCATCTTCCATAAACATCCTAATGTAGGGATACTTACTACTATTTTTCACAATTTATTATGTTGTTTTCCTTATTTGCATGTTTTCCTTTCCCCTTATAGCTTAAGAGAGTTTATAGAGTTTAAGAGTAAAAAGGTTGAATACTAATGTTTGTTCCAGTCATAAGAGTTTCATTTCTAAAAAAAAGAAGATCAGTTTTTTTTCCTTTCCACATCAAAAATTTTTGTTTTGTACGGCAAAAGGGACGGTCAGTACAGCCTACAAGCTTGTGCCTGGACATAGCTCATTTTCTTCATTGGATGGACTGATTTGGCTTAGCTCATAAGCTACGTTGACTGGTAAACATTAATGTAAATCAATGGCGCACCAAGTGAGGGAATCCTAATCAAGTTCTACAGTACAGACAAGTCATCAAAGGAAACACCAACCATTGTTTCTTGTTTTTGCAACTGTTGTCTCATTTTTGTGTGTTCATGGGCTAAAGCTGGATTTAAACCAAAGTCAGTCAAATAATTATGGTGGTTTCTCACGCTAATGCCTTAAAGGTCACAGCTTGCGAAATCTGGTCCTTTTAGTGGTCAGCATTTATTATATAACACAGAATGAGCTGAAACTAAAGATTTTAGAACTACTAAAAAATATATATTTTAGTACAGACATCAACATGTCAAACAACTGTAATTTTTAAAAGGGGTAAAAAAGAACTATTATGTAAAAAGAACTATTTTAGCTTTACATCATATTATGATGTTTTTCCCTCATCAAAAGCATACCTGGTGTGTTGCTTTGACTCTTTCATGCATGTTTTAGATATTCTCTGCCGTGTTTAAAAGAACGGCTGCTTCTTAAAATGACAGCGGCCCAATTTCAAGACATCAAATTGTGAAGTCAATTTTTTTAAGTTATGTTATATATGTATATATATATACATATACAGCATTTTTATAATAACTGAAGTTGGTATAGTAACTTGATTGTTCTATAAAATTGCTCTAAACAATTACCTAAATTTTGTATATCGGTTTGTACCACTGTTTCCCTTCTATTGTATCCACAAGTCAAATGCAGTTCACCTAATTTTAAGGCTGTAATACATAGCTGAAATAAAAAAAAATGTCACTTCCTTATTACTTTTGACAAAAAAAATTGTCAAATCCACCTATTGTCTATACTTTCTAGGGTAGCTGGTGCCCATTTGGGCAAGAGATGGTAAACACCCATAGTCACTCACAGACACTGAGTGTGCAATGCATGGTTATTTGAACTCTGACTTAAGGACAACTTACAGAAACTAACAATAATGTACCGGAAGAGAAGCCTTGCAGAATATTCCCACCTAAGACTCCATCATGGATTATGTTATATAACACATAATCAAAAGAACATGTTTATTTGCTCTTTTTAAGAATTTGCTAATAATGTGTCGGAGAAAAACACACATTAAGTTCACTTTGCAATTATTCTTTATATTCTCTTCCAAAGTAAGGTAATTACAGCAAAAATGAGTTGGTAAAGGCTTTAAGTGTGACTTAATTGATGTGCTGTTAGCTTTTGTCTATGGAACAAAAGTCTGAGAGCAAAAAACAGAAGTTGGACATGAAACAACACACGTTATGGCAGAAAAACTGCAACTTTTAACAAAAGTCAAGAATCTGTGCAAATATCAGTTATGGCTCTCATAGCAAGACAAAACGTGGATCGACAATACAATTTAAGGAACAATATTGCACATCAAACAGCTGGAATTACAGTAAGACTATTCCTCTTGTGTTCATGCATAGATCTTTAAGGGTAAACTGAGTAAACATAGGTCTGAAAAGGGAGTAAATAAAGTCAAATTTTCTTGTAATACACTCTCCTAAAACTCTGGAAATATCTTGCACTCTAGAACAGCTGATCATCTAAAAACTAACCATGGTCAAATAAGGCAGCTATAACACGTTTTCATACGAAAAACACACTGTTAAAGACGATACCGAAACCAAATGGTGGTCACAGTTAAATGATTCATATTCTCTTAAACCTGTCTTTATGTTAAATGTTAGAAGATGATCTATATTATGTTAATGCCCTGTCTGTCAGTTCATTACTCAAAGTCCACAGTGATGCCCTGCCAACAGCTTCTTGCATTAAGTGGTGCGTTCCCAGCTTAATACTGTACCACACGTGTGCTTGTATGGCACAGAACCTTTCGGGACTCGAATCACTAATGAGGCACAAACTTTTCTTGCTGGAAGATGAGGTCCACAGCTTCTGCCACGTCCTGCACAATGTAGTTTGGCTCCACCAGCGCAGGGTCAAACCTGAAGTCCCGGTGACCGTGGAACACTGTCTCTTTAATGCAGCGACTTGCGTCGGACAGCACCTCTGCGTTGGGATTGTAGACCCCCGTGCAAACTAGGATGGACTTACAGGAGGTGGCAGAGGGCAGAGCCAGCTCACTTTCCCACATGCTGTCGAACTCCTCCTCCCCCCCAGGCATGGCGGTGCTGGACCCGGTGGCAGCCACCACCTGGGCAACAGCTTTGGGGTTCTTAATAGTGGCTCTCTCCTCCAGGAAGCGATTGTACATGTTGGCTCCGTATATATCAGTCATAAGGTTATCACTGGAAATGAAAAAGGAGGGAAATTAAAATAAATGAAAATGCCTCAACAAGTTTATGTTCTATTGATCTGTTTAACTATGATGGTAATGAAAAATAGGGAACAGTTACAAAATCACACTACCTTGCAGATGTACTGATACCCTCTACATGTTTTTTCCTAACTTTTATCTTGTTACAGCCCCAAAATTCAGTGTGTTTTATTGGGATTTTATATGATAGACCTAGTAGAACATCATAGTAACGTGAAAGGAAAAGAAAAAGAATATACAGAGGGGTGACCCTGAGTTGTATTTGTTAGTCAACCTTAAGAAATAAGAATATTGCTAGTTATATATAAGATGATATGATGCCCACTGATGAAGTGTATAAAACAAATTTACTTTGGAACAGTAACACAGTTAATACAGTCACCGTCCCGAACTGGGTTCCACTCAGCAATATTTGCTTAAGGATGCCACTGAATGAAACATAGAATGGCATGTGTGTTTTTATCTATCCCTGATTCTATGCCCAGGGTAAGAGGTGCTGACCTGTCTTTATCCGCTTTATATGTGACTGTCGCCAACCTTATATTTTATAGTTATGTAAACATCCAGCAGTGTGTGTGTAAGCATATGAAAATGATAGAGGAAGGACACAGAATCTTACATCCATAAGGATGGTGTGGGATTTACTTGTATTTAGTGTCCGTGAGTCAACACTTTGTAGATCCTACTTACATTGCAGAAGTATATCTGCAACAGCTCTTCTGCAGCAGAAATTCAAACATGAGCTCATTCTAATTCATGTTTCAATATTCCATATTGGTGAACCAAAAGGTTCAGTTTTGGTCTGATTTGACTAGAACTCTTTCTTCCATTCATTCACTTTGTCTCCTCTATCACTTGTGGCAAACTGGACTTTTAATTACTTTCTTTCAGCCACTCTTTATGGAATGTAGAATTAATAGTCAGAGTTCTTGCATATCATTTAAAGTGCCCATGTTTAGATAGATTTGCAAGTGTCCCATATCCTACTATTATTTTTGGATGATGGATTAAGCAGCACTTGACCAAATGTTCAAAGGTTGGGGGATTGTTTCATAACTTAATCCTTCTTTAAACTCACCCACAATATTTCCCTTGCCTATCTGCTGTGTTCTTTGCTCTTCACAATGCTGTGTGTTCACTAATGTTCTCTAACAAGCCTTCATGGAACACATGTATTTCTAATGTGATTAAATTACACAAAGGTGAACTTTATTTGCCAATTAGGCAACCCCTAAAGCCGATTGGCTGAAGTAGTTGAACATGTTTATAATTATGGGAATGGGAATACAATAAAGTAATTATATGCATTACTTTGTGTAGATCTATCCAATTAAATCCCAATGAAATTAAATGATATTGTTAAGCCCTTCAATTAATTGCATGAGAAATTAAAATATGCTCAATAATTTAAATTTGCAGGAATTGTTTGTTTTCCTTGTCTCTCTCTCTTTCCTCTTTACTAGATGACAAAAGGTTTGAGTCTGGTGCTTTGGTCTCAACTATCCCCTTTTATGAAGGGCAATTTTGTTTACGGAGACTTCAGTATTCATTTTATTTGTCTTTTCACTTGTTTGTTTGAAATGACAACAAACATTGTTAACTGGAAGACATTTAAGATGTCCTCCGGTTCCAGAAATAAATATTTGCTAGAAATTAAGGATAATTGTTTATGTTAGAGTGGTCTTAAAATTATCAAATTAAAAAAGCAAGTTAAACTGAAACATCACTTGTAGTTACTTAATCAGGCTTAGTTATTTTTTCACATTCATTTTGTCAGTAAATTATTTTCGTACCATTTTAATCAGTAGTCTTTGGCTTTCTTTGTATTTTTTGATTACTTAAGTGAGAACTGTCATTAGGATTGCCTGAAGAGATAAAAGGTCTCACCCTATGGCATAAAGGGAAGTGATGGGAAGTTTCCATTTCTTCTGCATGGCCTGGCTTCTGATGAGATACTCTGCAAAATGGTAGGTCAGCTCACTGGGCTTTCCCATGAGTGCGTCGTACTTCAGGTCTTTGCCAGTTATCTTTTTATAAATGTTCTCCAGGCACACAAGAAACGTTCCATGGCCAAACCTGAAAAATAAAACAAAAACAATATAAAAAAAACATCTGATTTGTTAGTTGTAAACATAAAAAAAACACCCCTGTGTCAACATCAGACTTTACAAGATTACCTTGGAGAATTTGCCTCTGCCATCCACATCAGGTCCATGTTGCAGGCCAACAGGGGGAGGTGAGGTACTGCATGGGTTTGGTGAGGACTGTTGAGGTTACCATGGGTCAATAAAATATCAATTATCAGCTGCAGGTTTGTCTCCCATCGGATTGGCTCCCCGAACAAAACCACAGCTGCATATAAGGTTAAATCAATGAATACAACATCTGAGATGGCAAACATATAACACTGAGAAGGAAATTACAAGAAAATGTTTTCATACCTTCTACTGTAGGAAGGCTGACGACAGGAGTGGACTGAAACAACAGAAAATAATCTTAATGCATTTTGTTTTACATAATAAAATGTATTTATTATATAATTAAGATATGGGAATTTCTATGCAACACATCTAATTTTCAGCAAATATTGTCATATCTCACCGGCAGTTTGGGACGTCTGTTGTGATCCACCATGTCCAGCAAGGGGTATGACTCCCTCACCATATCAATACTGACAACATTCTTAAAGCCAACACTAAATACAGGAATTTAACAGATAATTAGTTAAACCTTTAGGTCTTGCTTTGAAAATAAGAATTAAGTAGCAACGCAAAAAGGATAAAATTTATTAATACTTTTTAGCAATTTCCAGGACAGGCCCCTGACCCGACACCAGGACACATTTATCGTGGAATTTCTTGAACATCCTCAGGGGACTATGGGACATGATGACTTGGTCTTGTGTAATCTGACATTAGAGCAAGTAATATTAGCAGAAATATGAGGGCAAACCAGAGCAATCAAAAGAACAGATCATGTTTTGTAACTCACAGGCACTCCCAGGATGTGAGAGAGCTGGTCTGCTTTTGTTTGTCGGAGGCAGTTCCCTGCATTAGTGACAAAAACAACTGGCACCACAAACCTTCCCTGAGAGTCGACCAACTTCTCAACAGCCAATTTGGCAGCAGGGATTAGCATCCGTCCTCGGACAAGCACGCCATCGATGTCGAACAGCAGCCCAAATCTTGGCTGTGGCTGAAGGGGAAAAAGAGAGAAACTGTTGAATGGTGTAAACTGCAATAAATTCAGAGAAAAAATATTGAGAAGCTGTGTAAAAGTTGGTTTTAAAAAGTTGAATCCAATGAAGATCAGTGACAAAGCACAAAGATTACCCCTGCTAGATGGGGCCTCTTATTACATGTACAGTATTTACATATATATATTATTTTATCGACTCATCCCCAATTTTCCCCTTCCAATCTTATACCCTTAATCAAACCATGCCATACCCATGTGTTACACCACTTAATATCTATTTGTGTCTGTTTAAAGTTAACTATTTTAAATAAATTACAAAGGTAAGCAGTCATAAAATATGTTTAAATCCCTCTTACAAATTATTTCTGTTATGTATCTTCTAAAAATTGTGGGACTTTTCTTCAATTTGATGGATTGGGAAAAACTGGAAACGCTGGCTAACCACCTGGAAGGCATCAT